GGGCACCAGCTGCTCTCCAGCTCTGGGTGCGGACAGAGCGGGGTTAGCCTGAGCAGGGTCAGCCCGAGGGAGTGCTTCTCCCCACCTTGGTGGTGCTCCTCGCGTGCTCCACCCCCACCCCACCGCCTACCTGCCAAGCCCGGTCCTCACCTTGAGCTCCTGTGTCAGGATGGTGTGGCTCATGGCATTGGCCTGCAGGCTGGACGCGTGTTCCCTCTTCTGCAGCTCGGCCTCAAACTGTAGCATGAGAGCCTGGAGGAACAGGGCACCAGTCACCACTCAGCACTCAGCCAGACCACCATGCCACAGTATGTGTGTGCGTGCGTGTGGGTGCATGTGTGTGCGTGCATGTGTGTGCGTGCGTGTGGGTGCATGTGTGTGCCACAGCGTGGATGTGCATGTGTGTGCCACAACATGGGTATGTACACGTATGCATGTGTGTGCCACAACATGGGTGTGCATGTGTGTTTATGCCATGCCTGGTGTGTATGTACACATGCTCATGCCACAGTGCATGTGCGTGTGCGTGTGCATGTGTGTGTGTGTGTGAATGCACCATACAGCTGAGGTGGCCTGCTGTCCCCTGGTGGAGGGGCACTCTGGCCCCACTGGGGTTCCCATGGTGCATGCAGCCTAGAGGGCGGGGCCCACGGGTGGTGAGCGCTGCCCTTGTCTCAGGGACTGCAGGGGCGCCCTGCCCGGCCCACCTGCTCTGACGTCACACACCGACCTGCCCAGTTCTAAGGACGACTCTCACAGTGACCCGACAGATGGAATGGTCCTGCCCCTGTGGGTTCCCGGGCTGGGAATCGTGGATCTTTGTGGGAGTAGAAAGCCTGGTTTTTCTCACGCAGAGCAGCTGGTGAGCTTGAACTGCAGGTCTCGAGGTCAGCGTCCCACATGTCTGTCGCCCACGGCGCCAGTCCAGGCCAGCGTGGAGGGAGCCAGGTGCTCCGGAACAAGTCCGGGTGCAGAGGTGCCCATGGTCACCAGGGGGCGCCCACCAGAGCCAAGCTGCCCGGAAAGAAGCTGCCTTCCAGGACTGCAGATTGCTGTCCTGTCACTACCCATGGCCAGTCCCCGGCTGGCGCCACTCCCCCGCCACCGCCACTCACAGTCTCACTGCCATCCCCCACCTCTTGGGTGGCCCCAGCCCTCTCTGTCTACATCTGTGCCAGTGTTAACTCCAACCCTAGCCCCTAGCCAGGGACCCACGGGTTGCCCCTCCACCACCACCACCACCACCTCCATCACTCTAACGAGCAAGTGACCTCAGGAAACAAGACCCCCTCGGCCAGTCCTCAGCACCCTCCCTTCAGCCCCATGCCTGGCCCCTCCCACGGCAGGGTGCCCCCATCCCCCCTCCTACTGCCAATCACAACCCCCACCCCCATGTGCTCATGATCTTCAGTGTGAATCACCACAACCCCAGGCCAGAGCAGGGAGGACCCTCATGTCCACACATAGGAACTGGGTACAGCCTCATGTCCGCACCTGCTAGCACACGACCCTGCACTCACCCACACTGGCATGCAAACCTGGATCCACTTGCAGCTGAGCCCCGTGCAGCGCAGGCGGAGGTTCAGAGTCTCAGAAGAGGTGTGGTGATGGGCCGGAGAGTCCCATCAGGGACAGAGCTGCACAGAAACTTCTAGAAAAGCAGCAGCTGCCGCGGTTTGGGTCTCTAGCTGTCTCCTTGCAGAGCTCTGGTGCCTGCTTCATAGTTTCCCTAAACTCAGGAAGTACCCTGTTCTCCTCTGAGGTTGGGGGCTCTTCATGTGTCTACCACTGCTCCCTCCGGTCCACACAGACTGCCCCTTCCATGAGGCACCCCTGACCGCCCGCACCCCGCCTGTCCCAGGAGCAGCGAGGAGCTTGGCAAGGGCCGTCACACACCTGCTTCTGCAGCGCCAGCTCCCCGTCCCGCCCCTGGAGCTCCTGCTCCAGCTTCCCCCGCAGCTGCTCACACTGCTCCCGGTGCCGGGTGATCTCGGCGTCCTTGTCACTGTGGTCACAAAGCACAGTGGTCGGTGGCCACTCCCGAACGAGGTCACTGCCCCACCTGGAGGCAATGAGCCCGTACAGCCCGCCTGTATCATGGCGGGGACCCCAGTGACATCCTTAGCCAGGTGGTATTGCAAGGGCCTAGTGGGGTGCTGAGTACCTACCCCAACTTGGCCCCGAGCAGGAGATTAAAGGGGCCTAGAGTCTCATGACATGACACCTACAATGTCCTGAATGCAGTTAAAAAAAAAAAAAATCATATCACACAAGAGCCAGAACCGACAGCCAGGAGAAGCTCCACCGGCAGACACTGTGATGGGCCACACAGGGGCAGAGCGTGGGGGCAGCCGGGCGTTTAAACACAGCTGTCATGCGTACTTCAAACGGAGTCTCCGCGTGGAACAAGACCCACAGAGATGCCACCGGAGTCTGAGATGAAAACAAGTCTTCGTGGGTGGGCTCCGGGTGGAGCCAACGCACAGAGGAGCTGTGAGCGCCCAGTGTGGGGCCTTCCAGCCATAGCCATGGGATGCCCACAAAGTGACTGGGTGGGAGACGCAAAGAAGGGGCTTATGGCCCATTAGGGGGCCTGGACGGCCTGCTAAGAACGCACCTATGGCACACGGAACCCTAGTGAGAGGATTGGTCCTTTTTTCGTCCCACTGGGCTTAAAAGGTGTCTAGAAGTAGAGAAAGGGGGCTCAGGCTGTCTGGAGGAGCCAGGAGCAGGGCGGGTCCCTGTGCTGAGAACCTCCCAGACCTAGAAGCCAGAGGGAAAGCCTAACACCAGGGAAAGTAAGAAGCAGCAGATGGCGTGAGACTGCGTGGTGACCCCCACCCTAAGCTGCAGGCAGCCACAATGGGCGTGCCTCCCCACGGGGTCAGAGAGCAGAGGGCCTGTGCCATGTGGCTGGAGGCTGGTTGCAGGCTGGGTGCCTTGGGTGCTGCTATGAAACGCTTGCTGGAGCAGAACAGGGGCTGAGATGGCCTCGCCTGCTGCGTCCCGGGAGCAAAACGCACAGCAGCAGACATACCTCCGGTCTCGTCTCCCCTAGGCAGGAGCCCTGCGACAGTCTGCTCTGCCCGGGGAAGCACACGGGCCCACCCAAGGCAGGCTGCGGTGGTCCTTCTGTCCACACCCCCACCCCGACCGTCTCCCATCCAGTGTGAACTCCGACCCTCTCGTGACTGTCACCGGAAGACTACTTCGTGACCTCCCTCGGGCACAAAGACTTTTCTGTTGTGGGCACAGGGACACCCCATCCATGGGGACATCCTGTTCACGGGGCCACAAAGAGCTGCCTTGGCGCCATATGCCTTCCCACCTGCGCCCAGTTAATGACCCCCAACCCAGACAGCAGGCAGGTGTGTGCCTGCAGGGGCCTTAGCCCTGGCCCAAAGTCAGCCCACCGCCTGTGAAATTAATGCACGTTTCCCATCGTTAAATCACGGGAGTGAGTGTGCTTAATTAAAACAAGCCAGGCCTGCCATGACTGGGTCCTCCAGTGGGCTCAGCGTGGCCTTGGAGCCCAGGAACCGGCACCCTCACCCTGCTCACTCAGCCAGCTGTGCTGACCGTCTGCATGTGCACACAGCCCAGGGACGCCTGGCGGGTGGGGCCTCGGGGCCTCACCTGTGCAGGCGCTCCAGCTCCCAGCGGTGCTCCTGCAGCGTCTGCCGCTGCCGCTGTTGCAGCTCCTCGGAGCGCCGGGTCTCGTGGGCCAGTGCCTGGCGCAGCTTGGCCACCTCAATTCTGAGCTCACTGGCCTCTGCCTCCCGGGCCTGCTCCTGCAGCCGGGCTTGGGCGAAGACGGCGTCGTAGTGCTCCAGCTCCCGGTCCCGCTCCTCCAGCAGCTGCAGGTTATACAGGAAGTCCTCCCGAAGGCTGCGCAGCTGGCCCTGTGCCGCCCCCAGCGCAGCGCCCTGCAGCTGGGCCCGCCGGGCCTGCAGCGACCGCCACTCCTCCTCCTTGCGTGCCAGCAGCTCCTCCAGGGCCAGCCCCTCAGGCAGCACGGGGGGCAGCTGCGTCCGGCCGGATTCCCCACTGGCTCCCTCCAGAGCAGCTCTGGACACTGCCTGTGGGGCAGAGCTCACCCCAGACCCAGGGTCTTGCAGCAGGTGGGCGTGCATTCTCAGTCTCTGGCCAGGGGCTGGCACTCCTGGAACACAGTCAGACAGAGAGCTAGGAATTGTGAGCACACAGGAGAGCCCGCCCTCACTCTCAGGACCATGAGGGACGGCGGCCAGGGCCCCAGGCCACCCACGTCACAGTGTCCAGAGACGCCCAGGCTGGATCGCTCAGCAGAGGGGCTGCTTTGGGCACATGCCCGATTGGGGCACTCGTCCAGCTTCGCTGCACTGGCACCAACCCTGGGAGTCACACGATGGGGTGGCTGCTATGGGCCACCCCCGGCCCCCTCTTGAGACAGGCAGCCTTGGCCGTGGCCTAGGTGCCCAGCAGTGGAGGGGGCACGTGTCCTGTGTGAGAGTGGAAGGGCACTTGGACAGGCTGGGCTTGGCGTGGCCGCCTGCCACCCCCACTGCCCCTCCACCCAGGTGTCCCCATGCATACGCCCCTCCAGTCAACGTGAGCAAACTCACACAGACGGAGCTTCTGTGGGCAGCCCCGCTGCGGTCGCAGCTGCTCTGTCCGCATACACGTGGCCGTCCAGGTTCACGCTAGTCAAAGCTGACGAGGCGATGCTGATCAACGATTGCCTTCCAGGCTCCGAGTTCAGCTCATCCCTGAAATGGCCAATCACAAAAACCAAATCTACTTACTCGACTGGCGGGGTTTGCCACTCCTGAAGAACGCAGGGGAAGGGGCAGCTGATGGGAGATCCGGACTCGTGTTCTCTGCCTGATTGTCGACCGACCGGGCCCCAAACCCGGCAGGGCCGGAGCAGCCACAGCACCCCGGGAGGAAGGGCCAGAGTGGGGGAAGTGGAATCTCCTTGCAGTTTTCCTGCCCGAGCGATGGCTTAATGCGACCAAGAAGGGTGCCCGCCGCCAAGGAGCACGATTCTGTTTGCATCTGTAGCTTCTTGTGACAGCAAGGCTGTTCTCCGTCCCACAGGTACCGCCACCTTCTGTCTCAGGCCACTGACTGCCTGTCTCTCCTACAGAGCCATCTCTACAGGATCAGAGAGTCCTGATGGCATCTGGGACCTCGAGTTCTACATGCACGTCGTTCATTCTAATCTACTTTTTGTCTGGGACAACACCCACCAGGCAGTTCCTCTGTGGACAGTCAGGACACTCGTCGATGACCCCTGTGTGGATCGCCGTCCTCTCCCTCTGTGACAGGATGTGTACAGACTACCAACTAGATCACGGCCTAATGACATCTCCTCGGGGGTGTGGCCTATTGGGGAGACCCTGTGAAGAGCTGGCCTCTGGCTCTCCCCTTCCCCGTCCCCGCCACCTGTCGCCTTCCCACTCGCTACGCCTGGCTCTGGGGCCACTGGGCCAGGTGGCCACAGCCCTGGGAGCTGTCAGCGCCCTGCCATACTCCTGTGACCTGCACCCGCCAGCCTATGATCTCCCCACTTCCCACTCTGGCTTCCTCGGCCAGCAGCTGCGTGTCTGCAGGGGCCTGCAGCGTCTGATGGGCTGGGCTGGGCTGGGCTGGGCCACGTCCTCTAAATTAATTCTTTCTTGGCATAAAGTTCTTCCTTACACAGCGGTGAGCACCCCTGGTTTCTCTAGAGCACGCAGCTGGACACAGCCACCTTTCCGAGGGTTCCTCCCTTCTGAATGTAAACTTAACCCTGATACAAGTGTGTGTGGAGGGGGGTGCGGACGGCAGAACTACCTGAATGAGGTCAATGTCAGCAGTTGTGTGTGCAGGAACTGTGGAATGGTGCACATCAACATCATCAACACAGCCAATGACTTAAGGAGCCAAAGGGGGCCTCAGGGTGTTTGGGAAGGAGCTACAGGGGCAGATGGCACAGTGCAGGCGTGGTGTGGCCTGGTGATGTCCCTCCTTTCATACGTACGCACAGCTCAGCGATGATCCAATATGAGCAGGGATGGAGCCTGCAGATGGCTCCCCCAGCTCCCAGGTCCCCAGCAGATGTGCCTGGGACGGAGTCCTGCCTCTGCGCAGCCGACAAGGAGCCTGGAGCTGCTTCCCTAGTGCAAGCTCGCCCTGGGCACTCACGGCCAGAGCACTGCACGGCCAGCAAGATGCATGTGCTTGCCTGCGCGGCGTGTCGTACAGGCTAAACTTACAGCCAGCCAGTGCCTGTGAGCGAGATGCCACGCACCCTGATGTGGCAAAGGCAGCCAAGGTGGCAGCTTCTGCTCCTGCCTTGCCTGCCCCCCTCTGACTACACCTTCCCTCCTCTCACCCACTGCCCATGAGCAGCCCCCTCATACTCCACCTTCCCCGCCCACCTCTGACTGCACCTGCCTTCCTCTCAGCTGGGCCGGAGAGCCCGCGTGGCTGATGTGGGTAGTCGTGGTGGGAGGGCAGAGCCACCCCTCTGCTCCAGGATGGACGCAGTGAGAGGGGCAGAGGGAAGGCACTCAGCACACACCTCACCAGCACACGGAGCCCCAGCACCAGCTAGGGACACCCACTCTTCACATGTCCCCAGGAGGGCAGGGTTATAGGCCAGAGGCCCAGGTCATCATCCTCCCTCTTCCCTGATGGCCAGAGGCAGCCACCCACAGGTGGTGTGAAGCCTGTAATAAGGCAGAGTTGCAGCAAACCGTAGCTCCACCCCTGGCATCTTGGGAAGGGGTGGGTGTCACTACCCAGCAGGGGGCATGTGGTACTTTTATCCTTGAATCCATACTTGCCAAGTCCTTCAACCCCCAAGGGAGGCAATGAGGGTGAAATCTGGGGTCCTGAGCAGTGAAGAGCTGCGCTTCTGCTGGCTTTCTGAGACCCACAGCAAAGAAGGCCCAGCCTGAACCGAACAGAAACAAGAGAGCCCAGCTTCCTGACAAACAGCAGGCACACGCTGAAGTAAGCGTGCGAAGCAGGGCTTTGACTCGATGAGGCGGCTTCAAAGAGGTGGTGGTCATACATGACAAAAAGAAAAACACACCAAAAACTTAAAATCAATAAAAACCCAAACTGGGATTCCTAATGTCATTACCAACAAACAGCATAAACACACCAAAGTATCTGGAAAGCGGCATGTTCACGATGTATCCCAGGACTGCAAACAAGTGACACACAAGCATTAGACTGCTCCTTTCACAGGAGGCTGGAGGGCACTGCGGGCACTGCTTTATGGGCGTTCTAGGACTACGTACAGGGGGAGCCGGGTAGAGGAATCACAGGGCAGGCGAATTGAAGGTATCTGAGGTAGTTCGTTTATTGTGCCAACCTGGCTGATAAACACACGTGGGGTTAATTGAAGGGCGGAGGAATAGATGGCTCAGTGAGCCTCGCCTTTCTAGTTCTCAGGTCTCTTGCTTGGTGATGGTTGGACCAGGGTGCAGCTGCCTTAGCCAGTTCCCTGCTTTAGCATGCAAGGCTGACTTCCTGCAAGACATCCCTGAGCAGAAGCCACATGGACCTACCCTGATGCAGCCCTGGGTGCTGGAGCAGCCGTGTGGAGACCCCTGTCAGTGCTGAGATGCTTACACACTCACTGATTCCGCTTTCCTCCTGCAGTCAGTATCACAGTGTGTTTTGTGAGATGGAGGAGGACTTTGTGGATTTGTTTCTTTAAAGTATCCAGACTAACACAGTATCAGTACAGATTCTCTAGTGGCATTTAATATCCATACGGGTACAAAGATTTCCAAGCAGACACAATGTATATGGTATGTATGAACGTGGCACTGTCCTCTCCTGTCCATGACATCCCAGAACCCACGAGCACACACAATGGCCAGACTTGGTTTCTAAACACCACCCTCAGCCAGGGCAAGTCCAGGAAAGCATGGGATGAGCCGCAACATCCGTGGGCCACAAAGCACGGCCCCAAAAAGTAACTCACTGCCACAGAGTGGACACGACTCGAGGGCAGGCCCTGCGAATTCCCAGGACGGTAACTCTTCACTGGCGACGAAGGCCCATCTTCAGAACCGCCCCCTGCCCCCCCCCACACACACACCCAGGAGGGGCTGGTAGTTTACAACTACTGAACTTGCATAGAAGCACGACGCCACCAGGGGGCTCCAGAAACCCCTCCAGGGGCTCCCAATGGCCAGCCCGCAAGAGAATAAACGCAGGGACTAGATTACAACCTGGGGAAGCCAAGAATCCGTGAGCTAGGACTAATTTACATGCTGGTGTGCAAACACATGAATACGTAAAATGCATAGTAAATATACAAACACAGAGGAAAAGATAAATGTCGGGGAGACAGGATTTTCTCCCTTTCAGTAGAATTCCAAACATACAGAAGGAATATGTAAATAGACACATATTGATAACTGCTTCAAGCAAGACTCATCATCTATCGGCGCTGGAAACAAGATACTTCACAGTCTCCAGGCCTCCCCTCACTGCCACAAGGTACCCATACAGACACCAAGGAAATCAACCACTGCACAGTGCGGTGCCCGGCGGCCCTTTCACCAGGTGGCCGACAGCCGCATTGCCAGCAGCAGGACCTCCTGACAGGTGCAGTTTTGGCTTTTTACACCCAAAATGCCCAAGTTGAAATTTCTGAAGAGGAATGAAATTGAGGGGCCGCCTACAAAGCTGCTGGCTAGAGCTCCGAGGATGGGTCAGGGTCTGGGAGCGGGAGGATGAGGAAATGCCGCCAAAGGCTACGGCTAAAGACGAAGCAGCTCTACAGGGGACTCAGCCAGCTGGTGATGGTGAGGGGGTGCCTAGGAGCAGCCAGGCCCACCCCCTGCTCACTGCTGCCCGACGGCCCCCAGCAGCGGGTGCCCGCCCACCTACAAAGCACCCAACAACAAAAGCAGGGCCCTGGGTGGGCTCTGGGACAAGGTTGAAGTCATCAGAGGCTGCCGTCATATGTGAATACAGTCTGGCTTCAAGGCTGACCTCTGGTGCATGAACTGTTAGGTGAGAGGCCAACATTTTCCCCAGAAACCTGCTTGAAAGGGGCTGGGAAATCCTTTGCATTTCTTTTTTGTTTTTGTAAACCACAAGTAATTGGGGATGAAAATCAGACCCTGAGGCCCGACTGCATCTGGGTGCTGCCACCCCGCCATTAGTGGCTGCGGGATTGGGTGAGGGGCGGCTTTGTCATCTGTGAATGGGGGGCACTCTCGCCACGTCGGACTATTGGGTCAAATAACGAAAAAGCTGTGTAGGGAGGGAGGCGTCCGGAGCCGAGCCGGCCTCTGGCTCCGCAGCGCGCTGGGCCAGTGCAGGGATGACTAGGGGTGTTGAGGGGGGCGGTGGGGAGGGGAGGGGTGTGCCGGGCGAGCAGAAGGCGGAAGCGCTGGAGCTTTCTTGAGGGCCATGCGCAGGTCCAGTAGGTACACCCCACTTTCCAGGGGAGCAGAGCTGGCTGGGCCGGGATCCCCAGGGCGGGCCGGAAGTCGCCGTCGCCAGACCGGATTCTGCCCCCAAAGGACCCACCGGCCAGC